CACTGTACTCGATATATTGTACCGTGTGGACTTTTTGTCTCTGTTATGTGTAATTCTCATGACTTCACATTTGGTAGAATTAAATTTCATCTGCCAACGATCCGCCCATAGGTCGAGGGTGGTCAGATCTATCTGTAAAGCAATAGAATCATCGATATTATTTATCTGTCGGTAGATTTTGGTATCGTCGGCAAATAATTTGGCAGTAGACGTGATGATGCCAGGTATTTCGTTCACATAAATAAGGAACATAACCGGTCCCAGTACTGAGCCTTGAGGGACACCAGATGTAACTGGTGACCAATCCGAGTACGATCCACGTACCATAANTGTACTCTGCTCACGACATGGAGCTAATCGCCATCGAAAAAGTGTTTTCCAAGAGAGACTCGATACGCAAGGCCAGGGAAGCTTTTTTAATTTCAAGAGGCAACACTATTTATCCAGATGGCCTTAACGCTCGCGAAGAAATGTATTAGTTTCTAGTTATTTATCCAATTTACCTTACTTCATTTCTATTTTTGCTCACTATTTCTATTTTTATTTTTATCTCATTGTCAATCAAATTAGTTTTACATATTTCCGCTGTTACGTCATACAGCTATCTATGAAGCATCACCCCAATTCTCTGTTAATTCACACTGCACCTGAAGAAGGCTGGTTTGGCCAGCCGAAATATAGTGCTCCGTCATAAAATTTACTCATCAACGTTGTATCGGTCCTGCCTCTATATTTATATTTCATATTCGTTATTTTGGCCCGATCAGATCATCGCTGATCCAACGTACAAGCCGGTAGGAGTATCGTCCACGGTTGCCTGCTGAACATTTCACAGTTAAAAGTTAACTCTTCTGAGGAGAAGTGATTGAAATGCCAACACTCGGGGTCTTAAGATAACTAATGAGGATATGCTGCCTTACTATGACATCTGCAAATGGTGCGACATTCAAGTTTTCCTGATAAGGACGAAAAAGCCCTGTCTTCTACATCTGCCCTGTACTGGTTAGCAGGGGACTTTAAAGAACCCACACGCACACACTCGATGCAAAGAGTAGGGAACGTAGTTTCTCTGAGTGTTTTTTTTGTTGTTGTTGTTGTTTTTTTTTTTTTTACGAGAAAATCGTTGCATTGTCACTTAACTCGTGTGCGTAACTTGTCACACCAGTACTGTTGTTTATTCAAAAGCGTACGCGTTTTCTCTTCAATTTACAGGTGTCACATGGTGGCAGTTACTTGTCAAAAAATGTTTCAAAGTTTGCTCGGAAGCCTTGTCAGTTACATTTACAAATTAAAAATATTTCGGCGAAAGCCGTAGGCCTCGGGTGGTATCCAAGACCTAGGGCACAGTTTTTCCCAATACGGACCGACCTATGCTGGTGAATAACATCTATATCTTGACCTCACCCTTGGTCAATAATGCTAATTTATTTATTACTTATATACAGTTCGTGAAACAAAACTTAATTGCTGATTGGCTCTATTCAATAATAGAGCGTCATCTGCCTTATTCACTTTCGTTTTCACGTTTGGTAAAATTTTCTCAAGATATCGATGAAACATAAGTTCTGGACCCGTTATCTTTAAGTTGAAACGCATGTTCATTTTCATAGAGAAATGTCCCTAGCGATATTACGTAACTTAAAATAATTTCGTGCAAAACAGTAAGCCTCCAAAACCTAAAAGTATCCCTGGAAAGCTTTTATTACTTAATTTTAGCAGACGCGACCGCATCGAAGCTTACTTTGTGTTGTGCTTTCCTGGTTCCGAATAAAATTCCAATGAGCAGATATATCAGATTCCACAATTTCAGCCTCGCCAGTTCTCCCCTCGGCTACAGACTGTTCCGTCCATCTCTCGTTCCTCGATATCTTCCTCTTCTATTGCCAACTCTTCAAAGTCTTCCGACTGAAAACATTTGTCAGCTCTCTGCACTTCCGGGATCACAAAGTCAAAAACTTTGCCGAAAGAGAAATATGACAAACTTCCAGTGTAACCAGCATCCAAAGCCTGTACTATGCGGTCGACTTACTGATAGTTACTTTCGCGTGTGAAGTGTCTGGCAACAAAAAATAAGTCGCACAGAAATAATGCGAGCATTCGAAGGCCGTACGTAAATATAATTATCCGATACCAGGCGCCTATCCAAACAGTTTTTCCGGGAAAGCGATGATGCAGCCATGCTTTAACATCAACGAAGCAGACAAACTTGAGGGTACAAGTAAAAGCTGTTGTTAACAAGGATTCCAAACTCAGCGAAAAGCCCAAGACGATCAGTGCAGGATATTGTCTGTTTAATACCTGGGATGATCTTTGACAACGTTCGTGGCAGTACGTGCAACCCACAAGAAGAACCACGTAAAAACCTGTCTTTGTTTGAAAGTTCCTGAAGATGAACTTTTCCCATCGATAGAGGACATATCAGGACCGATGAAACAGCATATTCCACAAAATTGATATCACGATTTATATAACGGCAGCAACGGAGTTGAGAAGTATAAAGAACAATCTTAAAAGTGTGAATGCTAAAGCACAAATTGTGCAATCGTTTCTCATCTTTGCAGAGCTTTGACTTGGAGGGAGGGGGATAAAAGACACGCACGTATTATATCATATTACATATCATTTTTGCAGAAATAATGCGAGCATTCGAAGGCCGTACGTAAATAAAATCATCCGATACCACGAGCCCATCTAACCACCTTTTCCGAGAAAGCGATGATTAAGCTATCCTTTAAAATCAATGAAGCAGACAAACTTGAGGGCACAAGCAAAAGCTGTTGTTGACAAGAATTCCAAACTCAGCGATAAGCCCAAGACGATCAGTGCGGTGTATTTCCTGTTAATACCTAGAATGATATCTTTGACAACGCTCGTGGCAATGCATGCAGTTCACAAGAAGAACCACGTGAAAACCAGTCTTTGTTTGAAATTTCCTGAAGATTCACTTTTCCCATCGATAGAGGATGCATATCAGGACCGATGAAACAGCATCCTCCACAAAATTGATATCACGATGAACATAACGGCAGCAACGGAGTACAGAAGTATAGAGAGCAATCTTAAAAATATGAATGCTAAAGCACAAATAAAGCAATCGTTTCTCATCTTTGCAAGGCTTTGACTTGGAGGGAGGTGGATAATAGACACGCACTTATTATCATAATTATATCAAGCTTCTGTCGCCACGTTAAATAATTAATGTCGTATCAATGCTCAGCGATCTTATATGATGAACAATTTTATTTTAGAGACTTTTTTAAATTGCCTCTATTCTGGATGAATGAAGTTTAAATGAAATGTCTCTAAAAAGAAAATGTTGATAAAAAACAAAATCGCGAACACAGTCTTTAACCATAGCGTTCGTCCGATATTTTCACGCACACGTATGACAAAGACCGAATCTCTGTTGCCATAACTAATTGCGTACGTGTCATGCCTGTCACGTGCGCAGACTGTTGTTTCGCATTTCACCGAATTGCACCGGAAATCAAATGATTGCGTATCCAAACGTCATTTCACTGAATTAGACCGCAAGTGACTCTATCAATGCCAAGGACTCATCGTCCCTGCTACTTTAAGGATGTCCTTCAACATCCTCTCGTCTTTCATTTTCTCCCTCTTCATTTGGATCTTCTTGTTGAACTTCCCGAACAACTTCCTCTTCTTCCGAGAAAGAAAACTCAAAAAAATTTCCGAAAAAGAAATACAATAGACTGCCTCTGAAACCGGCATCCAAAACCAGCAAATGTTTGTCATGCGACTCATATTCACTTTGTTGTATGATATGTCTGGCAACCAAACAAAATCGTATAGGAATGGTATGAGTAGTCGAAAGCCGTACGTAAGTAAGACAATCCGGTAAAACCATTCCAAACGGTCATCCCGGAAGTGGAAATTGATCCATTTTGTAACGTTGACGAGAAAGACAAACTGAATCGCACAGGCAAAAATGGTTGTTGAAAAGAATTCGAAGCTCAGTGAAATGCCAAGCTCGACCAGCACATAGTCACCATTCTTAACAGACAGAATAATGTATATGTGCACGATCCTTCGCAGTAAAGCACTATTTGAGCAATAGTGAAAATCAGACCTGAAAAAAATTTCAGGCCTGTACGGGATTCGAACCACTGACCTCTGCGATACTAGTGCAGCGCTCTACCAATTGAGCTAACAAGCCAACTGGGAGCAGGCCATCAAATTAATTCGACATAAACCCGTAGATGATAAATCAAACAACAACAAACATATGAAACATATGT